ACAGCTCCCACAACTCACAGTGTAGTAGTACTGTAGTACTACGCCATGTACAGTGCAATACAACAAGTTCCAAGACTCGACTTGTGCCCTTGTGGGCTTGTGGCCTGAACCCTGAAAGTGCCTGAATACGTGCGTGCTTCCTGCCAGTCTTTTTTTCTTTTCTTTGAAACACACACCAGCAGCAGCAGCAGCAACAAAAAAGGTTGTGAGAATCCAGACACGATCTTCCTCCTTGTACCAAATGATGAAATGCATCGCATCAGTCGTCACACACAGCCTTCACTGCAAGGATGGAAGGAGCGGATAGGCTGCCTGACAGCAACTGCAGTTCTCCCCTCGTTATCATGGCTGTTCTGGGTTTGCAGAAGAGAGAAGCAGCTGCTGCCAGCTGCTCGGGTTCTCAGGTCAACATGTCAAATCGGACAAATAATCCAAATCCTGGAGATATCGGCAGATCAGCCGTGGTCCCATCATCCCATGGAGAGTCTAGTGGAGTCAAAAGACCTTTTCTCGTCTTCATGCACGTAGTACAAGGTACACCCACTGCTAGTATTTATCTCTGTATATATAGTACTCTCTTTCAGTCTAAATTATCCGTCGCTTTTGATTTCTGTGCGATAAATTTGACCTGATTTATAAAAAATACATGTAACATTTGTATTTTCAAATCAATTTATTAAAAAAACTGGATTCAAAGATCTTTTCAAAGATACTAATTATGTACCATAAATATTAATATTTTTAATATATATTTTGTTAAAGTTGTTTATAAAAAAACGAAAACGATGGATATTTTGGGACGTGAGTATGTCATCTAGATAAATCGGGAACACCCTTTTTGACAAATAACAGTTGACACTTTACAAAAGACTGCTTGGATTTGTCGTCTCAACGTCGATAGCATATTCTAGGGTTAGTACATTTCAATTTTGATTTTTGTATAACAAAATAAAGAGTAATCACATCAGTACTAGCTTGTTTGCGCGAAAAATCCTCTCACACACGTGGTCTCCTAACAGTAGGTGGACTCGCTAGAGCGTGTTAACGCCGGCTTGTGCTAGAGGCTAGAGCCAACTTGATTTTACATGAGGACAATGTGTTTGATTGCCTATATCTATTATATTCAGTATGGTTGTGGTTGGGCAAAGGATATGCATGGATCATCGATGAGAACGTTATGCATGGATCATCTTTTTGTTCCTATTTTCTTTTTCACATTAATAACATGGTCATTTGTGAAATGTTTCTAATGAAAATATTTGTTTCTAAAGTTTTGGGGAATTTGAAAATGTATATTAGGATGAATCTAACGATATTTATTTAATATCATAAATGCTATTTTTTTTTATATAAACTTAGTTAAAATTGAGATAGTTTTCTATGACAGAGCTAGTCTTTGCGGGATGGAGTTAGTGCACGTTTGATTTGACTCAAAAGTGTTGACTGTTGAGGTAGCGAGCCTGACGAGCTAGCTTAATTTTTGCAAATGAGCTGCCGAACCAAGCTAGTGGCAGCAATGTCCTTTAGAATGGTACAGTCGTTGTGCTAGTACAACTTTTTCGCAATCTTAAAACAAGAGTGAGTTAAGAGCAAACGGTGTTTATCATTAGTTGATCGCCTCTTTGAAATGCAGGAAGAGTCGTTGCAAAGAAAAAAAATGCAGGAATTCCAAAACAAGGCGGGGATCGGAAGAAAATTGAACCACAAGAATTATGGTTATGTTGGCTGCTTTTGGATGTCCCAAAGGAAACGCACATGAATCTTGGAGGAAAGAAGAGAGGGAGAACCGTAAACATACATGAAATTCCTAATAAGACGATCGAGAGGAGCCTAGAAATTGAAAAAAGAAAACATGCATGACGTTCTTTGCATCAAATCATGACGCGGCGGAGGGATTGAAGGAGCTGGTTGGTGGTTGCTGCTCCTTGTAGCACGCAGTAATTGAAGGCAGTTGGGATGGGAAGAGGAAGACACGAGCGACTAGCTGGAGCATGAGCTTGAATGTTGGTCATGATTAGTTCAGGTCTCGGGACTGTAAGCGAAGAGCAAGAGATCTGTTCAAGATCAGCGCAGGGAACATTTGAGTTGACAGCAAGACGACTTCACAACACCACAGGCATCCATCCTACAGTACACTGCATGCGGTCTACTCGATCCTACTTGCTAGACGTCATCGAGTGCAATGGATAAATTAAATGCCATTGACCTTTTGACGCTACGTAGCTGAGTACATGATCGGCCCGAGTTACAGTAGTTATACCCTAGTTCCTCGAAACCGAAATTCACTGGAGCAAGGCTAATAGTTACAGCCTGGTCTAAGATTCTTTGCAGCGTTCTCTTAATTCATCTATATAATAACAAGGTCTTTATTATTAATATATGGCTCACATGTCTCTCTCGTAAAGTTTTTTTTTGTTTCTTATGTCTAAGCCGATTATAAGTTTACAGTCTACTTCTCTCTCTCTCCTCTGCTCTCTTCTCCGCCTCAGTATTTAGCCAGTTTATAGTCTATTATTATACTTGCTCGGCATAAAACTTGTAAGATTAATTGGAATGGCTGCTGAAGCCTTTGAGGAAGCCGGTCATATCTACATCAACATTTCTATATATCAAAGCGGGAAGGTTTGGCCGCTCCTCACGGTGTCCACGTCGCCCCGAAACGTCCCAGCCATTCGATCTCGCTTTGGACGTCCCAGATTTATTGTAGCGGATTTCGTCATAAGCAGTTTCCCATGCTTCTCCTCGGCTTTTCCGGCTTCTCCGGCTCGTCGTCGGAATCCGGCCAAACGAATATATTCGTAGCTCCCGCTTCAGCTTCTAGACGCTTCTCCTTTCCCCATCCTCTCTCCTCTTCCCTCTCTCCCCCGACGGGCGACGGGCGACGGCAGGGCGACAGTGGCTCGCGCCGGCGGCCGGCCTCGCCCTCCTCCTCCTCCCGATACAAGCATCTCGGTGCATGACTAAATTAAAATAGTAGTTCAGGACTCGATACGCCTATTAGCAAAGTGGACATAATATATAGTACTAGTACACAGTAAGTTCAACTCTTAGGCCGTCTTCAACACGAGATCCATTACTGTCGGGTATCGATATGAGGGATACCCAAAGCAAGGGAGTTAGCGTCCACGCTGACTTCTCTGGATAGAGCAAGACGTATTAAAAAGTCTCGCCCGATCTCGAGGCCGCGGGGGTCTCGCCCAAGGCCGCGGGCTCCGTCTCGCCCGACCTCTTGGGTTCGCGCTCCGTCTCGCACGACCCCGAGGCCGTGGGTTCCGTCTCGTCGGACCCCTTAGGTTCGTGCTCCGTCTCGCCGACCCCTTGGATTCGTGCTCCGTCTCGTCCGACAGGGACTCATACCGCCACCAATCACTCCAAGTCCAAGCGTATGGGCCTGCTTCAAAACTCTGACACCAGGGAAGAGACTGGCATGACTCGATGTAACCCGTGGCCATGACGGGCCATACTTGATGATTCACTTCAAGAACAGCGTCGGACGTGCCGGTGCTATTATGTCTAACCCTTGTACGAACGCTGACGTCCACTGGGACGAAATAGAACACCATGACCGCCATGAGGAAAAAGGCAGATCCGCACGAGACTGAACTACGAGAAAAACACACAAGAGCATGACACAAGCACACATCTAAGCGGTAATCGAGTTCTCAGCACCCGTTCACTCCTTCCTCCAGAGACTTGGGATCATTTCCCTCCCTCGCCTGTTTGTAAAATCGAGTTCTCAGCACCCGTTCACTCCTTCCACCAGAGACTTGGGATCATTTCCCTCCCTCGCCTGTTTGTAACCCCTACTGCAAACCAAGTGTTGGTAACACGAGCAGCAGCGAACTGGGCGTAGGGACGTTCCGCCCGAACCAGTATAAACCCTTGTGTCCTCCGAGCACACCATCTGAGCCAGACGTGAAATATAAATTTACTCGTCGGTGGTCCGAAAACACCGACAATTGCGAAACTCAAACTCAAAATAGCTCTCCAACACAATACCTATAGCTTCCAGCAGAGTATCTATCTGGAAGATCCATTTTAGGTGTCAGAAGAGGCATAACTAAAATCTGAGTAGCCTATCTCTTGTAAACTCATTTGCAGAAAAAGTTATCTTTTAGGTCTTGTTGTTGGAGAAGACAAAAATAAATATCGAACCCTTTGCCTGTAGCGGTACCCAAATGACGAATAAATCTTGTATTTTGGGTCGTGGTCGTTATGGGTTGTGGTCGCTAGAGACAGTCTTACACGTCTATTTCTACAACACTAAACACAGTAGCTCCGCTGTTGATAACAGTATCTATCTTGTTCAGCAGCTTACATGATGAACTGAGAGCGCCGGAGAAGAAGCGCAAAGTCAGGCCAGGCGAGAGCAATCTATGCAAAGAGTGACAGGACCGAGGAGGAGGAAGACGAACGATGATGGCGTATCTTTGGACCTTCTCTTCTTCCCAGGGAGAGACTGCGTCATCAATTCACCTCCATCATCACACTTTGCTGTTGACAGCCTCGTGTCTGCAGCTGCTGTAGTCCAGAGTGTGATGACGACCAGCATTGCTCGTGAACGGCTGGACTTGAACACACACCTACTACCCAGTACCGATCCGCTGCTCGCCCTTGAGCTCGACTCGAGGGACGGCACCGGCTCCGGCTGGCTATAAATATAGGGCCCCAGGCCAAGCGTACCTGATCGCATTGCAGCACAACAACACGTACAGACCGATCGAGCTCTTCTTGCTCAAGCCTCCTTCCACACATATCATCATCATCTGCCTTTGAAGCTTGAAGGCCAACCGATCGACCGCTTCAGACACTTCAGAGAGAGGTGACGTCCTCTCGCTTGCATCCAAAAGCTAGTGTTAGGTCGTCTCTTGTTCCGTTGCTTTAATTTGTCTGCTCAACCGCTGTTGTTCATGGATCGATGCTTCTTCTCTTTGCATACATACAGAATTGCAGATACAGGTAGTTTTGGGTGCAGATCGAGCGCAGGGATCGACCGATCGATGGAGCGCGCGGAGAACGAGCGGCTGCGGAGGATGGCGCAGGGGAAGTGCCTGGAGAACCTGCTCATCATGCAGGAGAACGAGTGGATGCGGAGGAAGGCGCAGCAGCTGGACCAGGAGAACAAGGCCCTCCTCGCCGAGCTCAAGCAGCGCCAGCAGCAGCAGCACCAGGGTGCCGCCGGCCCTTCCGGCTCCGTCTCCGGTTCTGGTTCTGCCGCCGCCGCCAACCTCAAGGCGAAGGCGGCCGGCGGCAAGCAGCAGCAGCCCAAGTGAAGAAGTAGCCACTAGCCACTGCTCGGTCGTGCATGCAAGCTTGTCTTTCTTATCTGTAAATAAGTACTAGTACTAGTAGTGTAGCAGGCAGGTAGTAGCTGGTTACTTAGCAGTGAGTGGAGTGGATGTCGTAGTAGAACCAAGGAGAAGCTAGATGGTGAGAACGAAGCCAGCCAGCCAGCAGTGGCAGCATTTTGTGCTATGTATGTATGCAGCAGTGCAGTACTTAGCTTGTCAGTCAGCAATTCATCATCGTTCAGCTTATCTTCCACGATGCTTATGCTTCGATGCCGTGCGTCATTTCCAGCATTTCATTCTCCATATATATCGCGCATTCTCCTCTGTTTAATTAGTTATTATATACTTTATATATAGAAGAAAATAAGGAGATATATCAATACATCAGGTTGTATATAAATTGTGAATCAACTTCCGAGTAGATGGCTCCCTTTTTCAAAATGTGAAACGGGAACTGCTTGCCTTTTCCCCCTTCCTTTGGAGAACATGGGGTACGATACGAGAGCCAAAGCCTGAAATTTTAGATTGATGATGCCGGGAGAACGGGCCAATAAACTAGGCTAGGTAGAGCGGATGAGATCAAACAGGTCCATGACCAGAGCCTCGCGCGTAGAGGTTTGGGCTTCATTTCATAAGAAGCCCACAGTAGACCAAGCCAAGTATGGGCCCCACGTAGATGAATAAGCTTAGGCCCAGCATTAAATTCAGCCCATCGATTATCTCCATCTGCGAACACATGGCTGATATGTGCCCACATGTGCCGATTATGTGATGAGTGATTGCAGCGCCCACATGTGCCGATTATGTGATGAGTGATTGTCGGGAGATGATCAAGCTTACGTGGCTGACTTGTGCCCATGTGTGTCGATTGGTGATGAGTGATTGTCAGGAGATGATCAAGCTTTGGTTGAGTTTGGAGAGACTAACCATGGTGTGAGTGTGGTGTTGTGCAACATATCTCTTGGTTTGTCAACAGGTGTGGAGCACAGAGACGATCAACGGCTATGGAGAAGATCAAGTAAGGTCGTGCCGTGCCGATGGAGTGGTGAAGGATGGACGAGAGGCTTGGACCGAGGGCCGAGAGACTAACCGTTGGTGGTTGACACCTGGGGACACCGACAAGCAAGTGTATATGTGGAGGAGTAGACCAAGTCAAGACGACGGTTGGTCGGGGCGCGAAGGACTTGGTGATCGGGTGGTCGAGGACGAATGGTGACACATCTTGAGATCCTGGAGGAGGCGTAGAGGATATGCTTCTCTAGTTAGGTTTGGTGGTTTGGGCCCAAAACCACAGACGGACGGTTTTACTAGTTTTGGGCCTCAAAACCTAGGATAAAGTTTAGGATGGACTTTGGGGCAGCATATGGCGTCATTGCGAAGCAAAGCCATGAAGAGCTCGTGGCCGTCAGATGCACCGATCAAAAGATGAACCATTTTGCCCCTAGGTTAAGTGGTTTAGTAAAATATCTAAGAGCAAGTTTGGGATTGTGTAATAGCTTTACAAATAAAAGGGAAGGCTGCCCCCACCAACCTATCTCTCTAGCTTTTGTAACGCAGAAACATCATGAAATTATTTAATTCAGGGTCTGTTTAAACCTCTATAAAGCTGACCTCAACTCTGGAATTGAATACATACATTGTAATGTAGAATTGGCATTGCACGTATTCCCCAAATTACGAAGACCAGCATTGTGTCCCTAGAAAGCAGAAATGCAAGCTAATTTTAGAGAAGCTAAATAATATCAAAACAAGTATAATATATATTATTTATCAAAAAAATCACTTAGACTTAAATAATCCAAACCATAAAATTTAAGTTAGGAGAATCTTACTTTCTTAACTTCCAAATTTGATTGTTTTGTATTAATAGAATATAAAGTTTTCACTTCCATAGTTGGTTACTCAGAATCACTTAAATATTGAACGCACATCGACCCACTATCCACATAACCATATGATTCATGAGCCCACGACAGTAACTATCGAATCCCCATGATTCGGCTCTCCATGGGAGAAATGGACATGACTAGTATCCAAGCCATTAGACTGTCTCCAACGGGCCGAACGCAAATACGGGACGCATTTCTTCTTATAGGTCACGCACAGGGAAAAGCTCCGGGACGCAAAACTTCACGTTTCCAACAACGGACGCTTTTGAAAAGTCCGAAATACAAACGCGAGTATTACAGCGCTGATTCCTAACATCCATCTAAACATGGCGATTATGCGGCTCCTGAGGCTGCTCCCAGCCGCCGACCACTGACTCTTCCCGAGCCCACTGCCCTTGTTTAGGCATTTTGAGGCACCCGCCTCCGTCTCCGTGATCATCTTCCTCCAACTCCGTCCGTGCTTAGTTTTATTTTGTCTACATTTAATGCCGCAAACATTCGCTGTGTCCTTGCAATTTTTTAGCGGCGCTGCTCTTCACCCTCCGACAGCCGACAGCAACCTCCCTGACCCTGCTCCCTCCGATGGCACGCCGCAGGCTCTCCCCTCCATGGCGCCACCTGCTCCCTCCGATGCTATAACTTTTTTTTTCGAAGCCCTCCATCGGTCGCTCCTCCCAAATCTCTCTCTCAATACCAAAAAGCCTGTTTTAGCGTAAGGACGTTGTTCTCGACGGACCGATTTTTGCCTTCCTCTCTATGACTCGATTTGTTCATCAAAAATGCCTGCCTTTCTTTGCTGTCCCCCTCCGTTGGAGTGTAATTTCAGGACGCAAAACACTGTGTATGAGGTATTTTGGGTATGGATCACCGTTTGCCTGCGCCGTTGGAGACAGTCTTATGGAGGTTTTTAAGAGCCTGCTCCCAGAACACCCACGACAGGACACTGAAGTGACATTGTTGGATAATAGTGTGGCATGACTAAGGGGTGTTTGGTTTTTCCTCCTAAACTTTAGTCGTTGTCCCATCGGATGTTTGGACACATGTATGAAGTATTAAATATAGACTAATTACGAAACTAATTGCACAGCTTGCGACTAATTTGCGAGACAAATATTTTAAGCCTAATTAGTTCATGATTTGATAATGTAGTGCTACAGTAATATATGCTAATGACGGATTAATTAGGCTTAATAAATTAATCTTGTGGAGTACTAACAAATTCTGTAATTTATTTTTTTATTAGTATCCGAACACCTATACGACACCATCACATGACACCTTCTAACTTTTAGTCATCGGATCCACGCACCCCCTAAGGCAGGCTGTGCTCCGAGAACAGCCACGACAGTGACATTGTTGGATAATAGTGTGGTACGACTAAGGGGGTGTTTAGTTGGTAAGGTGAAAATTTTTGGATGTCACATCGGATATGTCGGAAGGATGTCGGGAGGGGTTTTTGATACTAATAAAAAAACAAATTACAGAACCCATCAGAAAACTGCGAGACAAATCTAATGATACTAATTAATCGGTCATTAGCACATGTGGGTTACTGTAGCACTTAAGACTTTTCATAGACTAATTAGGCTTAAAAGATTCGTCTCGCGATTTCCAACCAAACTGTGCAATTAGTTTTTTTTCCGTCTACATTTGATGCTCTATATATGTGCCGTAAGATTTGATATGATATTTTGGATTGAAAATTTTTGAAAACTAAACAGGGCCTAAGGCAGGCTATGGCTCTCCATGGGGGTGGCAACGGCGTCGCAGATCGCTGGATCTACTATAACTTTTTTTTTAAAACTAGATCTACTATAATTAACTGAACTAGAAAGTCCATTTCTTCATCCAAATCTTCATCCTTTAAACCTCAATACCAAAAGCCTCCCCATCACGTAGCTGGATAGACAATAAGGACAAGGTAGCAATTACATGATATGGATCCGATCGGTGAAATAATCTGACATACTCTCTATGACACTGGATTTGTTCATCACTCATAACTTTACATCTTTTCTTTGCTGTCCCTGAGACCTCACTTGTTACTACCTTCCTTTTCCTAATCTTGGCCTTCTTTAACTTCCCCTTCTTGTTTTTACTCTTAGAAATCTCACTCTCTGTCATAGTCACGATCAGCTATTTTAAAGCAAATTGGCAATCCTTTGACCATTGCTTAGCTTTTGTGACAAGTTTTTTTTTTCAACTTTGCCACTTTCACTGAAACGAATATTGATGTTACACAACATCAGTGAATTAGACCTTGCAACTTCAAGAAAATGAATAATACAGATGTCACACCACTTGCAGACCTCGACATTTGAGGATCTAGCCATTGTCTAGCCGTGTGCCTCTACATGACACCAAATGCTGACCTCAAAGGTTCTGCACCGACCTTAGATTCTTCTGCATAGAAGTAATCTCTTGTCCACTTCATTTTGACTGACTCCTCAATATATGTGATTGGGACATTATTCATTTCCTAAACACGCACAATTGGCCCCACGATTGATATGATGAAACCAACCAAATAAAGTGTAGACCCTTCTATGACTAAGCACATCTACTTGTCATTGTATTAAAGATATATGAAAAAGTGCCCTTCCTCTGGGATCATAGCACACTTGTATGACTCTTTCCCAAACTTATAGCGGTCGTTCATGCGGTCAAAGGACCAGGATTGGAGGTCACGCACACTCCTCAGCCATATGATCCTGATATCTTTATCATTGCCATTCAAATCAAGTAAGTAGTCTAAATTGGAAGAAAATCATAACATTTTAGAGTAACAAAATATACATAAAATATATTTATGAAACAAGTGAGCTCTTGGTCAATATAACCATGGTATTTGCACAAAAAGCTACCTTTACCTGCCAGTGGCTTTAGGATTGGTGTATGAGATCATGGTTCTGTCGTTCGTTCTTCAATGCTCAGAGCCTGATAACAGTAAGCCCAATTAACCTGGTTTTAGAGAAATTTACGTATTCTTATCTGGAGTAGACTGAGCCCACAATGTCAAGAATTGATAACAATACACTAATGATTCTACTAAAATGCAGAAATTTGGAACTACAAATGATCTGAGGAACGATAGCTCTACATACTGAAAGGGAGAACATGCAACAAGACAACGAAAGTAGAGTTTCACCCAGCATAAAATATTTTTGTGGTTTTATAGTTCCAATGTCAAATATTCTGTTCAACCCATCAGAGCCAGGGGCTCCCTCTGCATAGGATCCCTAAACTTGTCCAAACGGGTTTAGGGACAAAAAAAAAAGTTTGGGACCTTGATAACACCGCCTCCCAACTTTAGGGACCGCCGGTATATTTTACTCAAAACTTCTATTTTTGGAAACTTTTACATATAAGGTTTCCTTTTTGCTATTCAACATCTTTGGAAAACTTTGTAGTTTTGGATTTTTATGAACAACTTATATAAATAATTAAGATTTTTGTTGTTGTTTAACCTCTTTGGAAAACTTGTTGAAAAAATAAGTTTCTAAAATAATAACTCATTCAACTATGTTTGCACATTTTTTTATAACAACCCAGTCAACTAAATTACCTAGAAAAACTTATCGAACACAACCTATACTACCCAACTCTTATGGTTTTTCTAAAAAAAAAAAAAAAGAAAAAAAGAAACAAGGAGAGGGGGAAAAAGGAAAGAAGAAGAAAGAAATAAAAAAAAGGAGGGAAACGCAGGGGGTGTGCATGGTCTGGGATTTGCTCACGTGGATGTCCTCTGAATCGAGCGCCAAATATTTAAAAAATCATTAATGCCAAACCTCATAACTGGATTTCTGCTTCTTACGCCACAAATTTCTCTTTGCTTCTGCTCCATATATCCCAATTCCCATACAGTACTTGAGCATGGATCAGGACCTGGAACAGTTCCTTTTGTACTCCTGAGCTGAGAACTGAAACAACCAATTTCAGATGTTGAACAATCTATTTTATTTTATACCTGGTATATTCCCTGCTAGTTGTTCAAAACCAAGATAATCTCCAAATTAACTCTGCACAACAGTGGGGGGCGCTAAATAATAGAGGGCAAAAAAAATTTACTCTCTGTACACAGTACACTCACTACGGAACCAGGAGCTTTGCCGAGAGCCCCTGACACTCGGCAAAGGGTTTGCCGAGTGTCACACTCGGTGAATTTTTATCGGCAAACTTCAAGTACTTTTGCCGAGTGTTTTTTCCATCGGACACTTTCGGCAAGACTTCGTTCTTTTCTTTCGAAAAACCTGCCCAAAAAACACTTTCGGCAAACTTTTTTCAAAAAATAAAAATCTATCCACTCCGCCACCACCAAAGAATCCGCCGCCCGCCACCACCATCCGTAATCAATCCCGTCTCTTTGCACAAAGCCTTTGCCACAAGTCGGGTGCGCTCTCTATATCCCTTGAGCTCAAGTTTTGTGGCGGAGCCCATTTGCGGATCCGCCACCACCCTTTAGATCTTTTCAAGCTCGAGGTGGTGGAGCTCGCAATGATCCACGCCATCTTCCAAGGAGCTCAAGCGGACTTTGAGAGGAGAGAGGGCACGCCGAGATGACGTCCTCCATGAGGTGGAGAAGAGCGCACTTCATAATCGCCGCCCGACGCTCCCGCGGTGCAGCGGCAGGAGGCTTCTTCGCCGGTGGAGGAGTGCCGCCACCTCGGCACATCTTCTATTTTGGATCTGTTGCTGCTCCCCGCTGATCCGGCAATGCTTCTATCGAATCCTGAAGCACGCCAGATCCACCGTTGCCACGGGGGCGTCGCAAGCAGCAGACCTCCGCCACCGGGAGCTAGTGAGAAAAATGGCTCATGAATCATTAGAGTGGGCGCATACACCCGCTTCACTTCAAGGACAATTTCTCGGCTACCGCCTCCATCCCGATAGAGAGAGAGAGAGAGAGAGGTCTCGCTTCCACAAACTGCTGTCTCTCCGGGCCGGAGGAGGAGAGAGAGGCGGCTAATGAAATGGATCTGGGAGGGAGGAGGAGGAGATGTTTGGGTTACGACTTTAGCGCCTCGGAGATCCGCCGGGGTTTAGGGAGGCGCATTTTCTCATCCAGGGGGGAGGGTGTTTTGGGCACCAGGATCTGAGGAGGAGGAGGAGGGGAGGGAGGGAAGGGGCATCCATAGAGGGGAGGGAGGAGTAGTCACCAGCATCCATCGGAGAGAGGAGAGGAGAGGGAGGAGGGAGGGGTATAGAATCTTGGGGAGGGATTGCGCTTAGGCCACGAAAAATGGAGGAGGGGGAGGGTGGGAGGGGCGGCTTAATGGGGAAGAATGGGAGGGAGGGCACTTTTCTTTCTTTGATTGGAAGAAGAATGGGGAGGGTCATCTCCTGCATGGAGAAGAATGGGGGGGAGGGGGGGCGCCCACGGATGTCAAAGGTGGAATTAACTATGATTTTTATCCTTTCTTTACATACTGTCCTAGATCTGGGCACTTAATCTGCAAAGTTTTTCTTCTTCTTTCTTTCTTTTCTAGAAAAATGATTTTTGTCCTTGCATCATGAGCTCTCTTATGTCCCGGATCCTGGGCACTTTCGCAAATATCTTTTATTTTTTTATTTTTTTTCTTCTCTTTCTTTTCTAGAAAAATGATTTTTGTCCTTTGCCGAGTGTCCTAGATCTAGGCACTCGGCAAAGTTTTTATTTTTTTATTTTTTTCGTCTCTTTCTTTCCTAGCAAAATGATTTTTGTCCTTTGCCGAGTGAAAAAAAAAACACTCGGCAAACCTACTCTTTGCCGAGTGTTTTTTTTACACTCGGCGAACCTCCTATTTGCCGAGTGTTTTTTTTGCCGAGAGTTTTTAGCGCAGCACTCGGTAAAGAACTTGTTCGCTGAGTGCCCGAGGAAAAACACTCAGCAAACATAAAAACGCTTGGCAAATTTGACGTTTTCAGTAGTGACTAATAGATATAGCACAGATTGAGATCGATTCAAAGTGCTCAAAGGTACATAGAACAACGGGGATAGAAAGTACCAAGTAAAAAGTGACTTCCATAATAAAAAAAAATCCAAGTCTTCGGTCTTTACGAATTCACACCACCACGCTCATTGCAACTACAGGTGTATGCACTCAACGACTCTGCAGCAATTCATCATGTCAGGGACGATTAGTTATAATTAATCATGTTGCCGTGTGATGAAACCCTTGGATTACAAGTATTAATCTAGCCCAAACCTGAGGGTTTCAACATAGAGCAGCAATTCCTAGAAAATAGTACACACCACTAACAGTTTGGAAGTAGGTAGCCTAGCTAGCTACTCGATCTACCGGGTCAGCAAAAATCGTCACCTAACTTGGGCGCGCACGTATCCACCGCGACACTTTCCAACCATCTCTACCAAAAAGACAGTAGAACAAACTCACCCACCCACTCATGTCATCTCACGCGCATGCCTACGTGCAAGCAAGGTAAGCATCCTATATATATTACCCTGCACGGCACGGCTTGCTAATACCTTCATCGATCGAGCTAGCTAGGTCACTAATCCAGCTTGGCAACAACGCACGATCACGACGACATGGCCGCAGCCATGGTAGCGAAGGCCGCCGTCGTCACCACCACGACCACCACCAGCGGCTGGAGCGCGACGCCGCCGCCGGCGCTGCCGGGCAGCAATGGTGACCACGACCACAAGGCGAAGGTGACGACGACGAAGACCATTGCCGATGTCGTTGTCGACGAGGATGAGCTGTTCGAGCTCGACATCGCACTCCTGGACGGCCGCGACGACGACCACCAACACAACAACCGCGGCCGCAGTCCTGCTGCCGGTGCCGACGACGACGCCACCGGGCACGCGCTGCTGGCTAACTGCCTGCTGCCGCTGCGGTCGGTGAGCAACGCGGTGCCGGTGGCGGCGAGCGGCAGGCTGTCGTCGTCGTACCCCTACTCCGGCTATTACAGCTCCAGGAGGCTCTTCACGCCCCGCAGCAGCAGGAGGTTCCTTTTCCTTGGACGCTCAGCTGGGAATTCTTCAGCGATGCTTTGCTTCTCCAGCAGAGGCTTCGAAGCCATGGGGAACTACTTTCAGAGGTACTGATCGAGTTTTGAGAGACGTCAATCGAGAAACAACCTATACACTAAACTATATATAATAGTGAGAGAAGACCCCCTCTAATTAAGTACATCACCAATTTGTATTAAAATCAGGTAGTAGTAAAATCACTACCGGCTTGTATATACACCATCATTGTCTGGTAGTGACAGACGACCGGGCCCAAAATTTTCATTTTCTAGTTTTGGCTCAAACCACACTGGTTCTTGCTCTCAGTCATCGCCGGCTGCCGCCTAGAATCGCCAACAAAATATTATGTCTAGCAGCTAGCTATAACAGTGGTTGATACCCTAATAACAAGTGTGTTGTCCTTATCAATAAAAGGAACACCATTTTTGCTACAACTATTGTCTTTGTCTAATTTTAACGACTCCCGGTCATAGAACTTGGTAACTTCTGCACCTCAACTATCAAAACTGGAGTTGTCCTCAGCAGGTGGCTCACACCCACTAGACACTAGTAATATATATGCAGGGGGTTTTGTGCAAGATTGCTAGGAACGGAAATTTAGGGTTAGCTTTGCACAGCAGGGAGCCACGAAAAAAAATATAGTTGAGACGAGTTCTAATAAGAAAATAAACCAAAAGGCTTGTGAATCAAATCGCACCGCATTCACATACTACGATCACACAATTATGACAAAAAAGCTACAACCATAAAAATTATGGCGATCCTAGACACACATCTGCTTGTACCTCGGCCTTGACCGAATCTAGCTGCTGCCACTACTCTGCTGCTGACTTTGTCCGTGGCCGCGGCTGGCCCCACCGGGTTGCTCTAGTTCACTCCTCCTTTCCTCTCTCCATCGCCGCTCACAAAGGTGCAACTCCAATTGGTCGCCGGCATGTTGCGGGCCTTCCTAATCGCTCCACGTGACTGCACACTCGTGTGGCTGCTGGCCATCTACATGGCCATGGGGCCGCTGAGGGATGAGGCACCCGCTCGCGGCTGCTCCTCGCGCTCGGCTGCTCGGGCATCAGGCCTCCGGGATTCAACATTCTGACATCCGGTGGGTGGCTGGCGGCGGCTTGCCTAATGCCTTAGCAGGTCAGCCCTCGGTGCTCGCCGACCAGGGTTGGGATACGAGGACGGAATATCGGAGAATTCCCAATGTGTAGATGTTGATCGGGGAAGAGACCATTAGGCATCATTTGTGTGGGGCGGTTGGGCTTTCAATGGACCGTCGCTGCCTGCTGAGCTGAACCAAAACTCTGGGCTCGAAGAAGATGAGCAGCAACAACATCCTCACATGGTTCATGGCTAAAGGCAGCACCATAGGTCCATTGTGGCAAGAGTGAGGTGGGTTATGGTATGGCAGATAAAGAGAGGGGAAGGTAAGCGGTTTCAGGGATCAAAATTGAACGGTTTTAATAGTTGCAGTTGGGGTACCAAAGTTACCCAATATTGTACTTGGGGTTAAAATTAGATAAAGGCAGCATTTGAGGGAATAAAACACACTTGTTCCTAAATAAAACAAGTGTGCTACCAACTCTATTTGTTATGCGTGATCGGACCTATGTGTCGCTTAGCCATCTATTAAATGGATCAATTGTTTCTCCAAGAAGAAACTACAATCATTTTTCATGAAAAAGTTTATTGTACTAAGATGCAAATTAAGAGTTATTGGCTTATTGCACTCGGGAGACATGGCACAACTTTGGTACTCCAATTGGATTGAAGGGTCAGCTGCTAGTTCTTTTTTTTAAGGCTCAGCTTCTAGAAACATCACACTACACCCTCATTTTAAGGCTCCGTTGGTTATGGTTCCAATGGACGAGTAAGGGTATAATCTGGAATATATTGGACGTCCCTTGTAACAACTCATGCCATGATCTGTTCAACGCCTCTATTGTCATCACCATCGGGAATGGAAAATGACATTGTTCTAGCTTTGAAGTTGGCTCAATGGAAACACAACAAAAACATTGCACCCACTCTTTATAAAAAGGCCATAAGAAAGGAGACAACCGTTGAGAAAGCATTGACACAAAACAAATGGGTTGAGCACATTGCACCAGTCCTTTCCCAATGAAGGCCATATTCGGTAGGACTTATTGCTGCTACGGCTGATTTGTAGGGCTGATTTGTTGTGAGAGAAAAACATTGTTCCCATGGCTGAAAAGTAGGGCTGATTCTGGCTAATAAGCTCAAGCGAACAGGGCCAAAGAGAGGGAAATTTTTTATTTGTGGGAAGCAATCCAAGAGACAATGAGAGAACTGGAGATGGAAGACCCGGTTAGGTGGAAATTGACTACTATAACTGGGATACACCACACAAGGCACCAATCAGATCCAATGCCGAGGAACCTACACTAAGATTAAAATCATGCCAATTTAGAAATCCTAGACCGAAGAGAAATGTCATACCTCAGTCTCATACAACCAATGATTGCAATGTTTTTTGTTAGGCAAATACAATGAAGCATGATTGCTTATTAGTGGTATGCAAATTGATAATGGTCCTTTCCCAACCAATGCCTTTGAACTGCAAAATAAACATATTAATCAAGCTAAATCAACTAAAGGCAAGAATGAGATCATTGGAGAAGAAAGGTTTAAACTTCTGAAGAAAGGCAAGCAAAAGCTATTGGAGAAGACCCCTAATACTACGTCGAAGACTTCAACACCCTCGGGGGGCAAAGACATAAGTACAATAGCAATGCCGCAGAGACCAGCTTGGTCGGTTTGAAAACTGACATGGATGATTTGTCCAAGGAAACTGAAACGGTTCCAAATCCAAGAACAAGGTAAGGCCTAGCTTTGAGGAACTTTTGGCCAAATACAAGAAGAAACAAGATAACTAGAAGAGAAAGAATTGTCCGTGGAAGGTGGATTTGAAGCCATCAACAACACACCAAGAGCGGTGAAAGCTCTAGTTTGGTTTTGGATAATTGATGAAATTTACTTGGACTAACCCTATGTTCTAAAGTGTGGATTTGAGATAAGTTGGTCCAACTCAAGTGATGGAGCTAAGTGGCACTCATGGATGGAGATGGCCACATGAAGTGAAGATCATGGTGATGGTGTGGACACATGTGATGATCAAGCTTTGGAATTTGAAAAGAACAAAGAGAAAAATAAAATAGACTCAAGGCAAAGGTGATATCTATAGAGCCATTTTGTTTTGGGGATCAAGACATTTAGAGAGTGTGATCACATTTAGAATAGATGGTCATACTATTAAGAGGGGAGCTCTTATCGGACAACTCGATCATCTAGTGCTAGTAGGTGTTAGAAAACTTGCATATGCATTTTAGGCCTAGTGCACAATCAGTGAGAAGTGATTAACCTTTGAAAAATGATTGTGAAAATGCTAACACACTTGCACGTGATGGTGAAACACTTGTGGTGTTGGCACATTTGCAAAGGTGGTGAAAAATGTGAAGAAAAGGAGATGAAACTAAGCTTGAAGTGGTGTCCTGGGGGCACTGCCACCCCTTGTTCGATGGCACCGCCACCCCTAGGGCGGTGCCCACCTGGCAGTGTCCTGAGAAGCAGCATGAGCGCGGTCACCGCCGCATTCGGTGTTCACCGCCTAGTCACCGTCACTAGTAGGGCGGTGCCATCGCCATTTTTATCCAGAGAGCGAGGGAACCAGGGGTGGTCACCGGACAGGGCAATGCCATCCTATGTCCGATGCCACCGCCCTATTTTTCTAGAGAGGGGGTCTTGGGTGGCTTGGTCACCGCCCTCCCTAGGGTGGTGCCACCGCCGCCTGTCCGGTGCCTGCTCGGCCAGTCAAACTAGCCGTTGAGTCGACCGTTGGGGGGCACCACCACCCCATGTCCGGTGCCACCACCACCATGTCTGGTGGCCTCGCAGAAACCAGCTTCAAGGGGTAACAACTCTTTTTTGAGGTGGGGCTTATAAATACCCCCCTTGCCCGGCCATGACCACTCTCTTGGAACCCTAAAGTGTTGAGATTTCATATTGTGAGCAAGCTAACACACTCCACTGACTTCTACACTTGATTTCATCATCTTGAGTGAGATTGGAGAGCCTCTAGTGCATTGCTTAGTGATCTAGCATCTTGTGGCACTGAGGAGCGAGCAGTCTCCAGCGTCGCTGGCGATGTCTGAGCACCGAGGAGCGAGTAGTCCCCGGCATCGCTGGCGATGTCCGAGCATCGAGGAGCGAGGAGTCCCCGGCGTCGCTGGCGAAGTCCCAGCACCGAGGAGCGAGGAGTCCCCGGCGTCGCTGGCGATGTCCAAGCAGCGAGGAGTCCCCAGCATCGCTGGTGAAGTCCCAACACCGAGGAGCGAGGAGTCCCCGGCGTCGCTGGCGAAGTCCGAGCAGCGAGGAGCGAGGAGTCCCCGGCGTCGCTGGCAATGTCCGAGCACCAAGGAGTCCCTGGCGTCGCTGGCGAAGTCCAAGCACCGAGGAGCGAGGAGTCTCCGGCGTCGCTGGCGATGTTCGAGCACCGAGGAGCGAGGAGTCCCCGGTGTTGCTGGTGAAGTCCGAGCACCGAGGAGCGAGGACTCCCCGGCGTCACTGGCGATGTTCGAGCACCGAGGAGCGAGGAGTCCCCGGCGTCACTGGCGATGTCCGAGCACCGAGGAGCGAGGAGTCCCCGGCGTCGCTGGCGAAGTCTGAACACCGAGGAGCGAGGAGTCCCCGGTGTCGCTGGCGATATCCGAGCACCGAAGAGCGAGGAGTCCCCGGCGTCGCTGGCGATGTTCGAGCACCGAGGAGCGAGGAGTCCTTGGCGTCGCTGGCGATGTCTGAGCACCGAGGAGCGAGGAGTCCCAGCGTCGCTGGTGATGTCCGAGCACCGAGGAGCGAGGAGTCCCCGGCGTTGCTGGCAATGTCTGAGCACCGAAGAGCGAGGAGTCCCCGGCGTCGTTGGCGATGTTCGAGCACCGAGGAGCGAGGAGTCCTCGGCGTCGTTGGCGATGTCCGAGCACCGAGGAGCGAGGAGTCCCAGCGTCGCTGGCGATGTCCGAGCACCAAGGAGCGAGGAGTCCCCGTCGTCGCTAGCGAAGTCC